AGTCAGACAAAGTTTAGTTACCAACGTGCAATGAGTAAGATTGGAAATGCACACACACACACATACACTTACATAAAAACAATCATGGTTAATAAGTGAATAATTAACAAGGACAAAACGTGACTCAAGCAGAATGAATAAACTCGTCTGTCCAGAAGCTAGAATAAGTTATATGGGCTTAGCATAGCAAACGACACTATATACCTACGGACCGGATAGCACACTGGTAACGTCTTTGGCTGTCAAACTGGGGGACAGGGGATCGAACCCGTCAGGGAGCAGCAGTTCCCTCAAGATTACAGGTACACCTTACTGACGAGTGCCAAGTAGCAAGAAATCCGTGTCCAGGGATTCCTGTTGACTACCTCCAACCACCATCTAATCTCAATATAGTGCTCACAATGTTGAGTCACCTAGACTGGTGGCCGCATTGCAACTTGATTGATAGTATTCGATCTGCACTAAGAAGGACTTGACACATATGACATCATTCACCAACCAATGATCAATCATTTGTGATTACACTACATAATCCTCCAGATCTCATTGACAGAATTCATAGATCAAATGAATTATTTACTCTGATTCTATACAGTTCACAGAATATAACTTTATCAAAGATAATTTATCATATTCAAAGATCACATATACCCTATCATATTCACTATAAAATGTTTTTCAATGAACTAATTCCTCGATTTAATTCTTCCGTTTTTTTTGGTTTTCATGTAAAGTAAGTTTCCAAGTTATTTTGTCTGGGATTTTTGAAAAACTATTTAAAAAAAAAAGAAAATAAAAGCTGTTACATTGTTTCTATGTCAGTGTTAGTAAGCTACAATAGAAGACCAGGCACAACTATGCACCGGTTCAAGTTGCCATGGAGAATATCATCTCAGCATGTGTTGACAATCAATCCTGATTGTTGTTGTGTGTGTTTTTTTCTTTGTCTAAAGAAAAGCCAAGCTGTGAGGCTGTAATTTTGAAAAAAAAATTAAAAACATAAACGAATTCTGATTTGTTTTTATTATTTCGCCTGTAATAATGATTTACAAATTACAATTTAGGAAATTAATTGTTACATAATCTTATGTTTTAAAAAAAAATGTTTTTAAGTAGTTTATTCAGTAGTATAATGGAGAATATGAGAAGTTTAATTTGATATAAACTGTATATGTGTATTCATTTGATATTGTTTCCTTGCATTATCATCATCATCCCATTGATGTTTAAGAATGTAATCGATCAGTCTGTTATTGTCAAATGTACATCTTGTGCGTATTGCCTCGATATAGCCTTAATTCACAACGTTTTTAAGCCAAGATGAATAGTAGCTAGCAGTGGAATCCAGTTTGATGCGCATTTCGTTCTATTTGGGACTTGTTATCAGGATTTATCTGCATCTCAGAGTTGATATTCACTGCGTGACTCGAATCCATCGCGTTAAAAGGGGTCGTTTTGAAAATTGAAGAAATCATAATAAGAGATTACTTCTTTGATTTGATATTACTGAAAGATAAATCTATCGATTGCAGAAATTTAAACTAACCAAACTGTGAACACTTGATATTGACGTCTTAATCATTTCTTGGATCTTCAGGTGTTTTCTATGCTCGAACTCCACACGGTAGACAAAAGGCACGATTTATAAATGTTCAAGTAACTGCAGTATTTATAAGGTTTTTGGTAGCTTCCGTCTTCTGGATTCAAATTCAATTTGAGAAATTCTCAAATTGTAATTTAGAACAAGATAAATATAAGTGGACCTTATTGTTTTCGATTAGATCTTCATCAGACTATACTCTAATATACAGTAATGTATTTATATATGCACATACGAAATGAATTAAACCAATGAAGGCAGTTTATGATTCAATCATGATAACAATGGAATAGGTTACATAAATAAGTGTAAAGTACAAATTGATAGTGTGATGACAACTGCACGAGTTGTGATTAGAATAATAAAGGCTTGAATCAATGTTACATAATGGGAAGTAGGTCATTGATTAGAAGAATATAGACAGTGAGATAACATTCATTATAAGATTACGTAAAAGAAGGGAGTTCAACCTGGTCTGTTGTGAGATATCAGCTCACTGAAGACAATGGTGTACGGTGACGCAACTTCGTGGATTGTTGGAAGTTAGACATTGAGACCGTTGGATGCCGGCTGAGTGGTCTAGTTGACTAAGAGCCTGGCACGAGACTGATAGATCCTGGGTTTGGATCTCGCGGGTTGCGGGGTCGTGGGTACGTACTGCTGAGGAGTCCCATACTAGGAAGAAACGGCCGTTCAGTGCTTCCAGGTTTTCCATGGTGGTCTAGCCTCAATTGGCTCATGATTTCAATCAGTAATAAGAAGTGTTCACATACCTGAACCATGAAGCGTATATTTGAGGAAAGAAAAGAGTGGGAGGTGGTGAAGAAAGAGTATGGAAAATAATAATAAATAAAACTATTTATTAAGGTCAAGGGAGAGATAAAGGTGTTACAACTTTCTTATGAACACAAAGACTTGGATTGTTGGCCCGAGCTCCTATAGCTTCTGCCGAGTGTTAGAGACGAGATCGAACACCATAAAGAAAACTAGTAGGAATACAATAAATGACATTAAATGACTTATTTCTGTCTACTACATAACGGCTATCGATCAAGCATGATAAGACCGAGCTGCGTATTGTCTTGACACTACCTATTCCTAACCACGAAGGGAGGTGTATACTAACTCTTTGGTTCAGTTGTCTGATAGTGCACCCAATATAGCTTACACCTGTCATCACACTACCAATTTGTACTTTACACTTATTTATGTAATCTATTCCACTGTTATCATCATTGACTCATAAACTGCCTTCATTGGTTCAGTTCATTTCGTATGTGCATATATAAATACATTATTGTATATTAGAGTATAGTCTGATGAAGATTTAATATTTTTAGACAAAACCAATAACCGATTATAAACTTGAAGCTTTATGTCCAAAATAAACCTGTTCAATATTGGCAATCCATTTTGAGTAGATGAAGGCATAGATATTTTACCTTTATGTATATTCACAGTTCAAATCAATGTCATTCATATATTTTAATAAGATTGGGGAATTGATTTATTATCCATCTATTGTTATTCATTGAATTCATGAGTTGATTAAAGCTAGATCACTATTGAAAACTTGAAATCCATGAACGGTTATTTCGTTCTAGTATAGAAGTTCTCAGCAGTGTACATCCACGATCCTGTACGCAGGATTCCATTTATTCTATAGATTACGTAATCATGTATAAAACATTTATTTCAATTAATGATTACATTATGGTCTCTTTCAAATCACATTGATAACCATGAATAATTTTTCTGGTTAGCGTTTTTTTTAGCGAATTAGTTTTCTACGAGATGGAGTCGCTAATCCCATGCCCAACCCTCCTCTTTTATCCGGGCTTGGGACCGGCAGTAGCTCCCGGAGGGACTCCACGCAGAGTTCACATTGATAACCATATTAATGAGTATCAATTTTCACTAAACCAATGAATAGATAAGCATATTGGTTATTTCATTATTTAAAAACTTTATTTTCTAAGATGATGGATAATATTAGTAACTCAAGTGGATGATTTTGATAGAATTTTGTTTTTTGAACTGGATGGTTTGGTCGTGAAGTTTACATCGTTCTTCTGAACGACATCATCAACACAAACTTCATGTAGACCTCAATCTTGATTGATTACTGTTGATCTTTAACTTGTCATTGTTTACTTTATTTTGATTGTATCTTTCAATCAGAAAAATTATGGTCAAATATAAGACCAAGAAACAAATCAATAATGGGAGAAACAATCAAATAAAAGAAGTACACTATGACAGGTTAGATGTCAACAGTAATCAATTAAGATCAAGGTCTACAGGACAAGTTTTGAGTTATATATCGATAAATTTTAACACTTCAGTTCTACCTGAAGTTTATGCTGATGATGTCGTTCAGAAGAACGATGAAAGCTCTACTACTAAATTATCCAGTTCAGAGAAGAAAACTCCATGAAAATCTTTATTTTCTATTGTAAATCATAAGGATGAATTCATTGAAGTTACATCATTATTAACACGGTTTGATTATTTTAAAGTAATCTATGTTCTATAAACAAAGATACATGACGGCTAACAGTAGGATATCAGGACAGACATTTCATTCTAATTAAGAAGATACAAGTAAATAATACCATTATGAATTAGATCCATATTCTCTTATCATTTCTTGAAATGATAACCTTGATTGTTTTATATGAACGTATGTATGTGCATTGCATATTCTACTCATGACATGTCTGTAACTTATTTTTATTCTTCTATAAATATCGATTCACGCTTAGTTAAATCGAGTTTGTACACACTCCTTCTCCAGTGCACTTCACCCTCTTCTTTTCACTTTGTTTCTCTGTTCATTTATATTGATCAACAATTATACAAGGTTACTGTGAGAAAGAACAAACCAAATCCCGGCGGAAGAAGAAATCAGAAATTAGTGCTGGAAGTGGATAAGACACACAAATTAAGGAAAGCACCCAACTGCATCACAAGACAAGCCCCCACATGGAATCCTCAAGGCCAATGAGGGTGAAGAGGAAGACCAAAGAACACATTATGCCGGGAAATGGAGATAGACATGAGAAAAATGAACAAGAATTGGATGGAACTAGAAAAGAAGGCCCAGGACAGAGAGGGTTGGAGTTTGCTGGTTTGTGGCCTATGCTCTATTAGAAGTAAAGTAATTATACAAGATATAAATATTCAAAATATTCATTCTCATATTCGACTTATTTTAATTCCATTATACACGAATACTAGTCCAATCAAAGATTGGCGATATGTTGTCTATTTTGACAGTGATCATTCATATGATCCATTTCAAGTCAGATCTATGATCACTAAAAGTTTATTTACATCAAAACAAAACAAAAACAAAAGAAGATAATACATAGTACAGTGATTACGTAATTTGACTTACCTTTTTATACCATAAGTGAAATCAACAAATAAATGATAATAGATTATAATGGATAATAATAATAAGATGATATTTTGATTCATTGAACAATATTGTCACTATCTTCTATGTATGTAGAGATATAGATATAGATATAGATAATACAGTCACGTCAATGATTATCTTCTAAGTGATTATGTAATGTGGTCAAATTAAAATTTAAAAAAAAAGAACAATTTAGTGAGTTTCTACAATAAACTGCATGTTTCTCTTTTTTTTTCTTTTTTTTTGAGGAGGGGGGGCAGTTAGCAACAAGTTTAAGCAATGTAATGAAGAAGAAGTGTTCTATGAATAGAAAACTATTTATAATAAAATTAATTGTCAGTATGTTTACAAAAGTACATAAATACATATGTATGTATGCACACACACACACACACGTACATACGTACGTACCTGCGTACGCATGCGTGCACGCACATACGCACATGTACACATGTTTTTGTATCTACATAACAATTTAAGATTGTTACTGTTGCAAGGTGAAAAATTAAAAAAAAACTTAGATTGTGGGCGATTGGAAAAAAACAAAAAAACCGTGATATGATTGGTTAGTTATTTGGTTAAATTATTATGTTTATTACATAACAGGTTAATAATAGTAGAATTACATTTGGATAATATAAATGTTACATTCTATTATTCAATGTATATGAATGTTATAAGAAAGATTGAGGTTATTCATAGTTCATTACTTATTTACTTACTTACGCCTGTTACTCTCAATGGAGCATAGGCAATAGATCAGCATTCTACAACCCACTCTGTCCTCGATATTCCTTTATACTTCTATCCCATTCTTTTTCATTCTTTTCATGTCTGTCTTCATTTATCAGTGTATTGTGTTCTTTGGTATTCCCCATCACTCCCATTGGCCTTGAGGATTCCATGTGAGGGCTTGCCTTGTGACGCATTTGGGTTCCTTCCTCAGTGTCTGTGTCCTATCCACTTACAGCACTTCTTCTTGACTTCTTCCTCCACAGGGATCTGGTTTGTTCTCTTCTATAGTAGATTTTTGCTGATAGTATCTGGCCAACGAATCCGAATTATTTTGTGTAGACAACTGTTAATAAACACCTGTATCTTTTGCATGATGGTTTTCGTAGTTCTCCATGTTTGCACCCTATACAGTAGAACAGTTTTGACATTTGTATTGAAAATTCTGAATTTGATGTTGTTTGACAGACAGTTGTTTTGAGTTCCAGCTATTCTTCAATTATAAATGTGTTGTTCTTGCTTTTCAGATTCACGCCTTCACATCGGGATCAGATATTTATAGTTGATTATCAGACTATAAAATGATAAATAAGGATCCTTGAATCCGAAAAATTCAATGTAATGGATACTTGTTAACAAGTTTATCTATAATCTTCGAAGTTCATCTTAATGCTGATGTGTAAATCGCATTAGGAATGACTTTCAGTAGGATTGATATATATGTATATATGTTGTCTAGATCTGTGGGAAATGCTAGTTCATGAAAATGATTGTTGATTCCTTAATTGTACATGTTAAGCTATTTCACTAATGGAGTCATTTGTTTGACAGAATTAAGACGTTTATAGAATCGATTCATATAGCATGTATCTACTGAAGCCGTCCGTATCACAAACAATAAGTTGAATTGCGTATTAAAATAGGTGTATATTTCATGAGATTCATTTCTCTCATATTCAACTAGTATTTATTCATTCAAATAATGTCCATTACAACAGAGGATCAAAAATAGTATGTTTTGTACGAACTAAGTTTTATGCATGGATTGAGATACCATCCTGTGACTCAAATTAACTCAGATTGTTTTCTCAGGGTGGTAATAAATAAACCTTAGACCTAAAGGTTAAGTTCATAAAGGTTCTGCTTCATGGTAACCAGCGGCCAAAACTAAATTCATAGGAAATTTGTACCCTCAGGATCCTGAAGCTCATATGAACTTCCGGTTTGAAATTAGGTTCTATCACTTGGTTCAGCAACTTTCCTGGCACTGATATTAGTATGATGCCTCTGTAGTCCTCACACTTTCTCAGATCTCCTTTATTTGGTATGTTGATGAAGTGTACTTGTTTCCAGCATGTTTGTGGCACTTGTTAGTTCTAAATAGGAGGTGAAGTATGTTTGCACTTACTTCTATGTCTGACCTCAGTATTTCAGCTTAGATGTTTTCAGGTCCTAATGCTTTATCTTCATTTGTCTTTAATCGTTGGTGAAGTGACATCCATGGGAAGGTCTGTGGGTGCCGCTTCAATATCCGGTGGATTCAATGGGGCTGGTCTGTTTAAGAGTTCGTCGAAGTGTTCCACCAGTCTGTTCCTCTGTTCTTGAATCTCCGTGATTGGTTTGCCTCCTTTGTCTTTGATTGATCTCTCTTGTTTACTGTATGGTTGTCTCACATTTCCTTCTCTTGTAGCTTTTTTTACTATCGTTGTTAGGTCTTCCACGTATTTCCGTTTGTTGGCTCTAATGCTCTTCTTCACTTGCTTGTTTGCTTCTGTGTACTCATCTTGTGCCTTGACTTTCTCTACTCTTGTTCGACCGTTGTTAATTACTGTCTTCTTGGTCTTTCTTTCTTGAATCTCACCGAGGTTTTTGATAGAGGTCCATTCATTATGATGATGCTTGTTGCGACGCAGCACCTCGTTACACGTTGAGGTTGGTGCTTCTTCAATCCATTTCCAGTTGTCCTCCGTAGTAGTTTCTTATTCTTCATCAGATTACATCCCATAAGTGCTTTGTGCGCTTCTTTCAACAGCATCTGTGCAACTCCTTTTGTTCAAGACGCGTCTACTTAACAACAGGAGAACGTTTAGGGTTTATTTTTGATAAAAATCCTAAGGTTTCATAAAATAATTGTTCTGGCAACCATAATTAGATGAATCCCAATGGTGAATAAATTTCAGAAAACAATACGGAAATTTGAATATAGTTTTATCTCGCCATATCAGCAGCTATTTGACTGATCATTCAGGTCGCTCAAAGTGTCCGAACATTCCTTGTACTTATGTTAGTTATTGCATTGGTTATTAGAGAAGGCATCGGCCTTGTGATTCCCGAAGAATCTTGGCTTTCATCCTGAGGAGTCATAACTTTCTGTCACATGCTTTTATTCAACAAAATCGCCTAGTAACAACATATGAGATTAAATACAAACTTCTAGTCTTAAGAAGTCCGCTAGATAATTATGTCATATATCGGTCATTTCATAATTTTCATAAATTCCTATTTCATAGAAAAACCAGCTGCCGATAAATGATTAGTCAATCACTTATGAACAATTGCAGTTAAGATAAATAGGTGAGGCCTCGGTAACTGTTTGGAACTCGTCAGCTGGACGTACCTGATAAATGTTCAGTTCAGGACTGAAAACACCATCATGTTATCCACTTAGCTACTGGGTACAGAAAGCCAGTAGCTTGTGCAATGGTATGAAGTTTAATTAAAATAAAACAAAACGTGCATCCTAGAACCCATTGCTAGCCACTATCCATCTCTGCTTATAATGTTTGTGACTTGAGGCAATATCGAGGCAGTTCGTTTAGAATACACATATGCCAATAAAAGACTTATCAATTATAGCTATAAACGTCAACTGGAGGATTCAAATGAATGAAATGTCCAAATAACTTGATATTTTCAAAAGTACAACCCATTCGATAATAATGGTACACTGTACACATAGTTAATGAATGTAAGAATGATAAAACTTTGACTTTTGAAGTACGCTGACACCCGTATTCAGAGGATATTGTTTGATATTTTCATCAACTGAGAAGACCAATTTGTAATATGCTTATAAATAGTATTGAAAAGCTTTGAATCACTTCTTTGGTTCGATTTGGATGATTAATTTCCGCCTTCTCTGTTGGTGTTTATCATTTTGGAAGGAAATTGATTATTACTAACATACTGTTATTATCATTCAAGACCGTATAGTGATTGTAATGAACAATATTCAGCACAAAATAAAACAATATGTGATAGTATTGGTGTTCATTCATACTGTGGTACGTGCTAGATATATTGATATAAGTAGTATATAACACAAGTCAGGAATGTTATGTCTGGCAGCAGAAGATGGGGAAGATCAAGAAAGGAAGAGCGGGAATAGAAAGCAATTGATATAGAAATGCAAGAACAATGAAGTTCGAGACAATGATTGAACATTTTTCAAATGCGGTAGTGTGGTTTGTCTATTTTATCATGTAACTCTGTAATTAAAGAAGGAACGAATTGAGCAAAGAAATTTCTTTTCAATTAGTTTTTCATCATAGCTCTACACTAATATATATACGTTTTACAATAATATAATACTCATCGAGTGGATACGTTACGTAATAATTACATAATGACATTTAAATTAACATTCAGTAATTGGAAGAGAGAGGATTATTAATATTCAAAGTAATCAAGAAGTTGCTATGTTGCGTAATATAAGAAACAAAGAAGGAATAGAATTTTACCGGATGGTCAATAGGATAGTAGTTACGTAAGAATCAAGAGATGAATGTTGAGAAGTTATAAGGCTCAAAAGCGATAGAAACAAAATTACAAAAATTTTAAAATAAATAAAAATAAAAATGGAAGGAGTATGAAAAATAGTTCTTCTGACGGAAATGTTATACTGAAGGCCAGGGGAGAGAAAGTGGTTGTACGAATTTCTTTTGGATGCAAAGGTCAGGTTTGTGAACATGGATTGCGATGGCTTCCGCAATGTGCAAAAGGCGCACTCGTAAACCATGTGGTAGATTTGATGGAATATTGTAGATAACCTTAAAAGCTTTATTCAATTCGACTTGATGACCTGTGTCAACCAAGTGAGAGAGAATAGAACTTTTAATCACTTTTACCTGTCCTTTGCTTAGCCATGTTGGATGATGTTCTGTAATGCGGTGACGGACCTGTCGGATTGTACGCCCTATGTAACTGGCTCCACAGGAGCAGTTGAAACGATAGATACAAAAAACATTTAATGCTGCCAAATTAAATGTCATCTTCTACAACCAACCGAAAATAAGAACATCCATTAAAGACAGACTGCCAGAATTCGCCAAATCTATGTGTATCTACTACTACTACTACTACTACTACTACTACTACTACTACTACTACTACTACTACTACTACTACTACTACTACTACTACTACTACTACTACTACTACTACTACTACTACTACTACTACTACTACTACTACTACTACTACTACTACTACTACTACTACTACTACTACTACTACTACTACT